TCAGCATCCTGGGGTGTTGGCATTTCTTCAGTCAATCTCAAGCACATTTGCACACAGCCATGGCCAGGGGAGCAGCTGCTTTGGCTTCCTGCTACAGTGTGTGTAACAGTGGCTTGCAGGGTGGAGAATGACCCGAGGACTGTAGCAGGTACAGAAAGGTGTTCTGCAGGCAGCAGGCTGCTGGGGAAGGGACAGTGTGGGTCTCAGTGTGGGACACAAGAGCTGTGGGCTTCTAGTACACCTCTACAAGGCACCATGGCTAGTGGGGCTACAGGGCTTGGGGCCACCTCACTTGTCCTTTCCTGCCAGGCACTCCTGTCCAGCAAGTGGATTTCAGCCTGTGATGCTGGATCCCTCACCAAGGGGCAGTTGTACCTTGATTACAGAATAAGAAAACAGGTTCTCTTGTGCTGTGTAACATTCTGCCTGTGTAAAGGGATCCCTGTAGCCGCTGGGAACAAGTCAGGCACCCACAGGTTGAGGCTGGGGGACAGAAGCTGAGCCCTGCTGCCTGGAGAAGGCTGGAAGAGCAAACGCAGCAGTACCTGCAAAGCAGGTTTCAGCATCGTCACCCAAAGAGCTCAAAAAGCTGTTGTGGGCCTGAACACGGGTGGGCTGGAAGGTGGGAGAAGGGCATGTGTGTGCACATACGTGTGTTGGTTCTTTGTGCTTTGCCTTCTGTTGCTCGGTTTCCTGATAGGTTGAAATCAAATGTGGTTTTGCTGCAGCGTGCTGAGACCGCGGGTGCTTTAGCCTGACCTGCCGTTTGTGGGCAGGAACACCCCCAGTGTGTCCCGGGGGTCCCCGCAGGTGTCGCTGCCCCGCGGCCGCGGTGGAGGAGGAAGAGGAGGAAGATGCTGCGCTCACTCCGGCCGGCCCTGCCTGAAGAGCCGGCTCCCTCCAGAGGGAAGAGCCGGGCATGGCACGCGGTGGATCCGGCACGCACGGAAGGAAGGGTTTCGTCTTCCGGAGCTGAGAAATATGCGATGAGAGGAAAATATAGATTTGGGGGTTAAAGGAAAGATTCGATATTTGAAACGTTCTGGCATAAATAAGAAAGGGCAGTCTCCTGTGAGTTACAATTTGAGGATACTCAGATAGCGATGGCTCAGCTGTTGCTTTAAATGGGTGTTATTAAGAATCCACTCTGCACGTGTGGAGGCCAGTACTTGTGTATGGATGCAACGTTTTTTACACATACGCCTTTTGTTCTTCATTTAATCATTCCAATTCAATTTTGCTAAGATATATAATTTACACAGGTGTTTGACAAAAAGCAGATTACTCAAAGATTTCTATTATTGCCATTATCATGAGCTCAGCATATAAAACGTGCTGTCTGTTACAGTGAGACACCCATTTTTGATGGGAATCTAGATAGTGTATCAGAGCTTTGCAAATCTCAAAGAATATTATTTCATACCTTTTTTTCCTGCCCAGTATGTTGTGTACACAATCAATACAAGAAGGAAGAGCTGGTTTTGAAGACACACTAATTAATTTTGAAAAAAATGATTTTTTAAATTTTGCATGAAGACACATTAATTTTGAAAAAAACCAACATGTCCCATATACACAATGTTTGTACATGTACAAGTCTGCTCTCCAAAGGCCTACTGTCCTTCAGGAGGGCTGTGCAAAGTATTGTGTATGTTACATATGCCAGAAAAAACACAGTCATTCCCCCCATTAATAGAAATGACCTATTATAAATTTACCAAAGATATCATAGTTTTATAAATTGGCCACATATGTCTGTGTAATATATTTATTATATCACCTTTCACAGCATTTCTGTTTTATGAAATTCAGCCTTGAATTTGTCACATATGTTTTGCATATATGTGCAATAGTGGGCCAAGTATATCCAAGTAAAGTATGATAAATGTGTTCTTTCCATATGGGAAATTAAATGTTTTTCCAGATATAAAAAAAAGTTTATTAAGAGCAGCCTATACAAAATAATTACAATAAATCACTCACTTATATTTAGGTTAAAAATATAAATTTGAACTAGTAACTAAATGATTAAGAACAAGAGCCAGAAAAGTCACATTTAGGACCTAATTCTATAAGATGGAGCAGCACAGATAGAAGAGGCAGGCCCTACACATTTTCAAGGCTCCTGCTCCATGTTGTGACATCCTGCCAGGCTCTAGGGCAGCTTCCATCTCCTGCTCCAACTGGAGCTGCCAAAGGACAGCCTCCCATCCCCTCTGTGAGAGGGGCACTGTGAGTGAGTGACCTGCAACGTCCACTCCAGCCTGGGTTCTACACCTCTCTGAACTCCTCTTAATGGTCTCTGGGAGATGGAGAAGGAAAGGGAACGTTTCCCTACACTGTACTCCTCCCTTGACGATCCTTCTGGCAACCAGTGAGTGTTTCAGTGGGCAGGGCAGGACACCTTGGGTGCCACTGCTGTGTGCTCGGTGCCTGCCTTCACAGGAGTGACTGCACAGGTGCCCAGGGACTCAGACTGATGTCCTTGAGCTTTGAATTACTAAAAAGAAGTTAAAATAAATAACATGTCAAATTTACAGAAGCACCTTAGTGTGAGGTGTTAGCACTATTGCTTTTGTCACTGGTTTTAGCATGGATGATGGGCAGGGACTCGGCATTTGCATTTTACTCCACTTGCTTCGTGCTCCCATTGCTCTTTGTTCCAGAAAGTAATGGTTGGTTCCCCTTCTCTCAGTGCTCCAGCCTGGCTGCTTCAGCTGTGCTTTGTCTGAGGTGTGAGCTCCAACCGTGGGCAGCAAGAGCCAGCATGAGAATGGAGGGTTTGCAGATAAAGCCGTCATCTGGAAAGGGCAGAGGACTGGTGGGGAGAGGCGGTCCTTCTCCCAGGCTGGTTCTATATGAGCACTGCCTTGCACATTTCTTTTATTTCAGCAAACGTGAAGTGAGTCTTTCATTCTATTCCCTTTCCTGCTTGTTGTCAACTACTTCAAACCAGATGGACTCAAGAGATAAAACTATAAAGACTCAATGTCTCTGTTTAGCAGGATGCCAAGTCTGCATGCCATCAAAATAACTGAGGCAAAAAAATCTGAACAGGCAATACTTACTCTAAGTGTTATGTTAAGAGCAGCCTAGATACTTTTCCATGAACACAAACAATGCATCCACCAATCACTGGGATTTCATATCAGCAATTTTTGAAATTATCATCAGGACAAATGCCACAGCCACATTCTCTGTCACGTTAAAAGTTACTCCATAGGCCCAATGCACCCACTGCCTTCTTACCTGTGTCAGAACATGTTTATAGCAAGCAGTGCCATGGGGGCCTGGAAGATGTACTTCTGCATGTGTGAGATGCCAGAGCTATGGAGCAGAATAACAGCTCAGCATTTGAACATCCTTGCTAGATTTTCTGATCTGGACATAATCAGGCTCAATCAATCCTGCCACTGGTAGAAAAGAGAGATCATTGCTGTCCAGAAAGCATCTGAGGACTTCTATGGTTTTTTGCTGCCCTAGTTTATGTATAGTGAGAATAAAAACTAGAAGGAAATAGCATTTAGCTGTATTCTCAACTAAATTTAACAGCTTTTTTTATTCCCTTTTATTTTTTCAATAATTGGAACTTCAAATTGTAACAGAGAATTATTAGAATTAATATTTTTTTCACTGCAGTGTCACTCTCCTGTGAGGAGTTAGTTAATACTCCAGGGTGGTTCTCCTGCAGTGCACATGGCTGCTTCAGGACCTCAGTCCTTCCTGCTGTTAACCCCTGTGGCACTGCAGCTTCTGGTTTTACAACTCTTCAGAGCGCAGAAATAAATACACTCTCCTCTGGGTGAAAACAGGCTTATTTAGAGGTGTAGATTGTGGTCTCCAGGATTTCCTAACACTTTTAAAAAAGGACGCTGGGGAAGTAAAAGCAAATATGTCTGAGACAAAAAGAAGTTGGTGTATGAGTTTTAGAAACCAGACCTATCACTGTATGGTTCCGCCAGGTACTCTGCCTGCCATCCTTGTCCCTCTCCTGTGGAGAATCTGGCCACTGCTGATGGTTTGCTCAAAGGCCCTTCATACCTTCCACAGTCTTCCTATCACCTAACTCAACGGGAGAAGTTGCTCCTTTGTTTTAAATTTACCCCCTTCCTTCATCTTTCTTCTCCTCTTGCAAACCAAACTGCAAATCCAATTCCAGAGGTCAAAATAAAGCAGTACAGTACAGCACTGCCGATAGGATGTACAGCTGTAGTTCAGACCACTGATCAGGTGAGCAAAACTTTCCCAAGAGGTATTTTCATTTAATTTGATATTGTGAGATGCTTATATGAATTGCCAACTCCTGCCCAGTATGATCTTAATTCTGGATAGCTTCCTTCACATTATAAAAGAAACCTCCAGCATGCCCCAGAAGAGTAGGACATAGACAAACACAGCCAAGTTTATTTGGAAAGGATGTAGTAGGGAGACCTGGGCTTGAATTTCAGAAGATTACACATTAGCAGAAACCCCCCTACTTTCTCCTCAGTCATGGCTTGTCACTTTCCTGGTAGCACAATTGTCATGCTTAAACATCAAACTTTGTGTCAGCACTGCCGTAACATTGTCTAGTATTAATCCAGGCAGTCATGTGCCATGTTTTATGCAATGATCCACACTTTCACACCACAGACACACAGCCAGAAAAGGAAACACATTGATTTAGCACTCAGTAATCCTTGTTTAATCCCCAGTCCTTTGGTTTACATCACTAACATGGCTCCTGCAGTAGTCAGTGTTCTATCTTTGTTCTTGGCAGACTGAATTAAAGGAAAGATTTATTAATTTGTAAGTTGGCTTTCTAGATGCATCTTAAATATGCTAAAAACAAGAGCAGTCCAGAAGCCAGTATTGGCTTAACTATAAAAATCTGCTCTTTTAAACTCAAACCTTTGCAACAGTCCAAGTCAAGCTGCAGAGTAATTTTTTGGCTTGCTGTAGCAATTGCATTCTAAAGGACTAAATTTAACAACTGCCTCATTGCATGCCCCCAGCTTACTTCCTTTTTCACTCATTACTACAAATACAATTAATCTCCTCTTTACTTGCTCATCTACACTAAGGACTGCAGTGCTTTATGGCTCATGTACTGATAAGAGAAAGGAGTTGTAACTAATGGATTCATTTGCAAATAATATTAGAGGGTCAGAGATCACCATTCATTCCAGTGGTGATAAATATTCCATGTAATTGCTGCACAAATGCTGCTGTTTGGGATTTATTTCTATTACTTTACGAATGCCAGTTGCTTTCTTCCCTCTCATGGTGCCAAAGACGGTGATTCTTGGGAGGAAGCCTTTTGTAATAATTTAGCTGTCATCACCTTCACTCCTGAATCCTCTAGGCCAGGTACAGGCTAGCCCTGTTCCTTTCTGGCAGATGAGATTTCAGAGCTAACTCCAGCATCTTAAGGTGGCTCTTCACTCACAACCTTCTGCTAGCAAGTCAGTGGCAATCTTGTGACAACCATGCTCATGGCACAATTGTAAATTTATTTTTTTTTTAATTAAAAAATTGTGAATTTCTTAGATGCAGACATCTGTATTTTACAGTTATAGTTATAATCAGACAATTGTATTTTACAGCCTATACTAATACAGACTGTCTTTCCTGTTGGAAATCATTCTTCTTTGGGGAAGTCTAGGTTAGTTCCTTAGGCAAATAAACTGTTAGAAGACTGTAATTCACAATTAAACTATGGTATTTAGGCTCAATTTTAAATGAAACTAGTGTAGTCTGGTTGCTCATTTCAAGGAAAGTATCATATGAAAGAAAAATCTGTTTACTGGGTGTTTAATTAAAATCAGTAGTGATATAAATTGTTAATGAATTAATTGTATTGTGAAAAAGTATGGCATGAATAGTGCTTTGGTAATGGGAAGTAAAGGATGTCTGTTCTGCATGTTCCTGCAACCTGTGTCCTTCCTCCTGAAGCTGATGAAACTCTCACCTGTGTGTCTGAGATGCAGTTCATGTCCTCATTTTCAATTTGTACTTGCATGACTAGGTTTGTTTTTAAATCTACCTAGTAAGACAAACATAAATATTTAATTCCCAGCAAAAGGCAGTAAGTTAGATACAAGCACCCAGTAATCTTTAGAGTATTTTCCAAAAGATTCATTCGTAAATCTAAACATCCCTTATGAGTCTCCCTAGTTGCTTTAGATACAGGTGTTGACAGTAAATGGCGGTTTTCAGAGAAAATATACTCAAGAATTCCTAATTTTTGGGGTCTGATCTAATAATGCTCTTATTAAGGCATGGGGTATTAATCCTTCTTTCCAGAGAGGTGCCACTGTTCCAATGCCAGAATATTGACATAAAAAATTGTTTCCTACATTAACCATTTACCCAAGATGGGTGAGCCCTGGCATCCTTTCCTGCTGGGTGGGCATTAAACCTGTAGCTCAGTTCTGAGGAAACTGCACAACAGCAGGCTGCTGTTTGCTGCCATGGAGGAGGAATGCTGGCACCCTCTGGGCCACGTGTGTGGTGTTATACCAGACAGCACAGCAAAAGGAAATCTCTGTGCAAAGTCCCTAGGACAGATCCCCGCACCACCACTTATTTATTTCATTGGTTTTTTTATGTGACTTCTGACCTACTTTGAGAAAGGGGAAAAACGACAAAAAGAAAGCTCCACAAGGCTGGTGCTGGAGCTGCTTGTACAGTGGGGGAAGCTCCTCTTCTGTGTGGGAGGTAGATGATGGGTGGAGATATGCAACTCTGTCTGGTAGATGTAATGAACACCGTCACCTCCCCTTGACTTGGGATCACTCAAAATTAGGCTTTAACTTTCAACTGCAATGTGATCCTCCATGCAGCTACTGAATAGTAAAGAAATAATCAAAGAAATGCATTATTTAAAGTGTCACCATACTATAAAATGTGTAAGGCCACGTTTTATTTAGAAAAGCCTGGCAACAGTATCCTGGTTCTGTGTTTTAATGTAAAGAACATCAGGCTGGGTGCTTAAGGCTTTCAGTCCAGCAATATTCTGTCTGTAAGGCACAGCTGGATAACAGACTCAGACTTTAATTTGCATGTGTGTTTTTCCTGAAATAATTTCTAAAGTCATTGATGTTGCTATTCACTTTCGGTCACTTTTTCTATGATTTCCACCTCTCTACAGGAGCAGAAACAATTATTTCCAATAAAGTATCAACAGTGCACAGCCTGGACACAGTTATCACTGCAGCTTTGTCACCAATCCAGCAGTACCCTGGCTCTCACCACACTGGTGTGTGTCTAATACACTTTAGAAGAATGCAAATGCTGTTTTGTGAGTCAAACAAAAAAAACTTCATGAATGAATTTCAGCTTCCATGACTGTAGGGATGACAAGTTAATGGAACATTCGCACTGTGTGGCGAAGGATTTACCCATGGCATTCCCCTAAATGTTAATGGGAGTTGTGCAGCTGAATCTCAGACTTGCCATGCTGAAACTTAGCCCTAACTCTCCAAGGAGAAGGGCGCTAATTGGATTGCCGAGTTTAAATCCTTCAGCTCATCAGTCTATGGAAAGGATTTAGCACTGGCTCTGTAAAAGGCTTTACATAGCTTTGCAGCACAATGCTGGGGAAGATTTTTTCCCTTTCTTTCTTGTGATTAATTGTGAGGCTTGAGGTGACAGGAGACATAATGAAATTCATAAATGCCGAAGGCCATCCCTAGTCACATTCCTGGCTGTTGGTTTAAGTTAGAAACTGACAGAAGTGTGAACAAATCAAGGGTGTTCTGATAGCCTTTCAGTTAAGGGGAAGAAAAAGTAACTGACAATGAGAAACCACTGGAGGTGGTTTAATGGGTATAAATTTTCAAGAAAGAGTGATGTTTTACATTGATTCAGATTCTTGGATACATAAATGACTTACAAACAGATATATTCTGCCCCCACTGCAGTTTGAGGGATTCCAGTCCTTTTTTACAAAAGATACTGGCACAAGTTATGTCAGCAACCTGCCAAAGGAAAGGTGTTGCAAAACCCAGAACTCAAAGCAGCTTTGGTCTTTGTTTGTGACTGGCCTTGTTCTGCTTGTTATGATTTTTAAAAATTCACTTTCCTCTATGGAAGACAAAACTTATAGATTAAACAAGCAGCATAAGAATTAAGCTAGGACTCTCACTTCAGCCTGGAGACAGATTCTGCCACTTCCCCACAAGCGTGTTTGAATTCCAGTGCAAGGAATTGCTTCACCAGTCCTGCTTTCCTAGTCCTTGGCAGTGCAGGATGTGTCACGTCTGAGCATATATGGACCAGACACTGATGCGCTGATCTCTGGAGCCAGCTGCCAGCAGTCTCTCCTGGGGGTTGCTGTGATCTGAGAAGGACACACAGTGGACGGTTGCTGTGTGATAGTCCAGCACTGCTAAGGGCTTCAGCTTTTTCCAGCCAAAGATCCTGATGCGATGATCCCACCCTGCTGTTGCCAAAATCTTCTTGTCTGGACGGATGGTGATATCAGATATGCCAGCGTTGACAAGTTCGTGTGTTTTGTAAACCTTTGTGAAAAAGTTACAAATGAGTTCTAGTTGTTCAAAACAGGAGGAAAAGGAATACTTTGGCACTTTAGCAGGTTTTATGCCCACCCAACACACCAGGGTCACACAGGGAATGTGGAGCTTTTCACCATGTGCTGGATGGCTCTTGGTGAGAACGATAGAGACAGAAAACAACTTAACTTGAACCTCCCATCTCCAGAACAATTTTCACAAAATAAACCCAACTCTTGTATGCTTTTAGTTTATTTTGCATTTAAAGCTATATATATTCTGTCACAAGTGAAGCTCTGAATCAAGATTTTGAGCACAGCTTTGCCCTTTTCTTCCAGCTATTCTTGTATGAGCTGCAATGTTCAGAGCTAAGGCCATATATTTTCCCTGCTTCTGCAATATTCCCAGGCTGAGACCCTTCTGAGCTGATGTTTAACCTACCTGCTACTCACTTCTACTACTGTGGCCCCCTCACAAAACCCCCAATAAGTTGTGGTAGCATTTACCTCAGTCTTGAGAAAGGAATGCTTCCAGGAATTGGGCTACAGTGTCAGGAAATCTATTTCTAGTACTCCTTCTCAAGAGACTTCTATTTACACCAAATCCAAGGAGGGGATTATGGCCAAGTTCCTGATTTCAGTCTTGGAAGCCTTTTGTTACCATTTGGGGACTACTGGGGCACAGGTTTCAGGGGGCACAATTCAGTTGGGAGACATTTGGCTTCTTTGGAAGGCACTGGGGCTGCACAGAACTCAGCCCCTGGAAATAAAAGTTTACGCTTCACTGACATGAGTTTCCCTTGAAGCACAAAGCTCAAAGTAACTCCCCTTTGCTGTTCTCACCTCAAGCTACTTGTCTGAGTGAGCAATCTGCCTCTGAAACACATGTGGAATATGCACACAAGTGTGTGTGTGTGTATTGGAACAGCTCAGCTTCTGTCACAATGGGGAAAACACCTTTGGCTTATAAAGCTGGCCCTGAACTGCTGTTATTTTTAAGTACCATTGGAAATGACATGTTAATGCCACTGTCTCCTTAAGCCTGAGTCTGTAGCTACCCTGTACCGAAGCTTAATATCATCCAGTGCCTGTTTTAATTCACTGTGTGGTGTTCACTGTTTGTCTGAGGCAGGAAGGGATTGACAAGCACACCACACCTGAGCAGCTTTCCTCCATGAAGGACATTCCATGATGCATAGCTAGTACAGGGTTATAAAGGCATATTATTGCAGATAATTTTAACCTTTATACTGAATGTAGAAAACTCCAGAAATGTTGGTCAAGGGTTGGTTTCAGATGCAGCTGAACACATCTTGGAACCTAACAGGCACAAAGCCATAAGCAATTATTTTTCAACTACATAAGAACTGCCCAGCCTACTCATACAGCAAGAGCTGTGCAGTTTGGTAAGACAAAAGGGTGAATGAAACTCAACATGCTTCTTACGTGTTCTATACATTTCTTTTTCAAAGATGACATAAATGAATTCAGAACACAGGACAGCAAGCTTTGCTCAAGCCTAATGAAAAATAGCAGGCTGTATGGGGGCCTCCTGGTGGGACTGCTACTGTAAAACCTGTGCTTTTTGTTAGTACATGTGCTCCAAACTCCACAGGGTAGGCCTAATGCAGCATGGCCTCAGTGGAATTTTTGTTGGTGTAAATGTCCTGGCAAGGGAAAGATTTATTCTTTACATCACCAGCCTGGCAAATGTAGGATGGGTTTTACTCTGTAACTGAGATTATTAGCTAATGGCTATAACCAATCCCAGGTGTGGTGCTCCCATCATTAATGCCAATTATGTGGGCAAGATCCATACAGCACAATCAGGGCAACTGGAGAAATGGCATGTCCTCAGCAAGCTACAACTTGAAAAGGAAGCCTGTAATGGTGATGCCTGTTGGCTATGGAACATGAGGGAACAGTGGGCATTTGTGCATGATCTGCAAATACGAGAGAGAGAGAAAAGCAACACAAAGGAGAAAACTTGCTCAAGGTATATGCAGCCAGGTATAATCCTACTGCCAGGATTTGTACCATCCCAGGACTTACTACAGTAAGTCACTAACTACACCAGTCAAATGCCAATATAATTTCTTAACCAGAAAACCAGCTTGTAATTAAGAAAACAAAGAGGTAAAAACAGGTGAGCTGCTTTCAGCCAGTCACAACCAAGGACACTTGCATCTACACCCAAAGCATGTCTTTAAGCCCTCTGCTTATTATGAAAATAACCAAAAGATTATTTTGGTTTTTTCATTATTTTAATATTTATTAAATATTATATAATATTTAATATTTTATTATGTTATTATTATATTCTTAGCAGACTAAGCTTCAGCATTTGGGGGAAAAGCCTCAGCAACCCAACCAACAAAACTTATAATACAGCTTACAGGATTTTTTCTCTTGTAATATAAAAAGAAGCCTCTGGTTATCAGATTGCTTAGTTCTGCTTTGTTTATTCACCTGCAGAAGCTGTTTACCTCCTACATTCTACCACAAACATCATCACATAATTGCACTATCTCATCAGAATCAGAAGGCTCAAAACCAATCCTGTCATTTGCTGACAGTGATGATTTCAGCAACTTTCCTGTAGAAGACAATACAAACTTTCCCCATAGCAATAAACTCTGCAGTTACCTTCATCATCTATTCATTGACACACTGGAACACTGCCACTTAAAACAGAGCTGCAGTACCATCATTGCATCATTCCTTTTCCAACGGCAGATAGCTGTGCACCACAGTTACTTATTAAAACCTTTTAGAATAAAAATAATGTGCCACTGAGTGGCTTTCCAACGTCTACCATTACCTCAGGTACCTGGAATGTCAGGGAAAAAAAATCCCCATCTGGTTTATATTATTAATGCAATAGTGGAAAAAAACTTAATCTATGTCCTTGACAATCTCTAGTGCTCGTATGAAAGATGCATTTTTTTTTAGGGCATTCATGCTCCCATGAAGCACAGGAACATTGCTTGTAGCTTGTAATACTTGGTATTTAAATTTCTTCTGAGGCAACCTTCTATCTCTCAGTGTGAGGTGTTGAAGGTGTAGTTAATCTTACATCCCCTGGGAATGGGAATACGTTGTGAAAAACAATACTTGGAATATTTCAGGTGAACAACTGTTTCTCCTGCGAGTTGTACCTGTAGCCCTGCATAGTTAACTCATAAGTGAAATGTGCTGTAAAGAACAATATTTTCTTTGACTTTAGGAAAAAAGTTTTGCTATAATTAATAGGAAAGAACAGCTTTCTCTCTACCACCAGAGTATCTGAAAATTTAAGAAGCTTGTCATGATGTCAGATTTCTGTCACCTTGACTTTAGAGAACAAGTCTGAATACCAAGTTTCTTACTGGGATTGCTCACCTTCCTTCCACTTCGCTGAGTTAAGGACACCTGGTACGTACAAGCAGGGGGAGGCTGGGCAAGAGGAGGGCAAACAAGACCAAAAAACCAGCAAACCCAAACCATGACAACTGTGTATCAGACACTTTCACTGCTCAGTCAGAGTGTAGAATGCCTCTTTCATGAGGCTTTGTGTTGTGCATTAAGGTTCAGTCGCCTCCCCAGTGAGTGCCATGTCCTCCAAACTTCACTGGGATTGGATGTGTTTGCACCACACACACTTAGTGCCCTGCCCTCCCCCAGAAATGCAGGTGCTGTGGTGATGCCTCACAGATTCCACACGTTACAGTGGATGCTGGGGGTTATTCATCCTCCAGGTGATTAGTCACCATTGGATGTCCCAGCATGTGCTTTTCTTCCTGTAGCACCATTAAAAAACAGCATTAACTTGCTGTACTACTTAAAAAAGAATCTCCACAAAAACTGCAGTTATTATTCTTCCATGAACTGGTGTGTCCAGCAGATCTCAAGGATGATGTGGGCACACAGGGGTTGATTCAGGCCCTCTCCACTGTTCATGGGACAACTGCCACTTTAAAAAGATTAAAACACCCAGCAGTGGAAAGGCTGTGCTTGGGCCATTTTAATTTTCCTGAGCCTTTTTGCATTTATTTCCACAACTGCATTTCCAGATTGTACTTAATCCTTGGCACTGCTGGAACACTTCCTGAAGCTGTCTAGATGAAAGCAGTATTTATGGCCATCCCTCGCACAGCCTGAGCTGGGGGTTACATGACCTCCTTCTAACCCAGCCATTCACTACCACAGCTCAGACATGAACTAGGGCAGCCAATTGCCTGATTTTGTGCCTCTGGCTGGGCCCTGTAGGTGCCAAAAGAAGCTGGGTGCCTAAACCTCATGTCCTCTTGATGCTAGCTGGGTTACTCCTACTCTTTCTGCTTGTGAAGTATTTAATGGAATACTTCTGTCTTTCCCACAGTGGAAAGCTCGCTATAGCCATTCAGGCAGAACCTTTTGAAAAGCAATCCTTTGTTTCTCATTTTTATAACTCATTTATAATGTTTAGTACATTCTGAGAGCTGGATACTACCAATGTGATAAATGAAGATACAGAGGCAATGGCTTGAGTAATGCTAGGCCTGTGTGCCTGTTGCAACTTTGGTAAAACCAGAAACATGTGAGAGAGGTTTTTTTCTTTTTTTTTAAATCCTCACCATCTTTTGCTAAGTCTAGTCACATAGCACAGACATTCTAACCAGTCTGTGATTAATTAGCTAGAGATCTGCAACAACTCCTCTTCATGACTAAATATTTTTTTAGTCTATCAAACTGTTAGTGCAAAGTGGGATAAATGACACTAGAGGGCCAGTGATCCTGACCTGGAGGTTCTGTTGCTCATTGAGACTCCAGATGCTAAGCACCTTTTCAGATGAGCCCGAGATCCCCTTGGCCTTCTCCGAGTCAAAGTCAAGGCTCATCACTGGCTCCTGGTGGCAAATGAGTTGGCTCAACGCTTTTCCCATTGACACATTCCAGAGGACAACTGATCCATCTTCATAGCCAGCCAGAAGCACAGGTTGTGAACCACAGCTGAGCTGATTAAGGAAAAATAAAATTGTTTGAGAAGCAAATAGTCTTAAGAAAATTACCATCCCTGGGTAAGTTTTAGTCCAAGCACCAAGAGAATAAACTAAAATGCTGACTGTTGTAGAAGTGAAAAAATGTTTAGATGTCTGAATGTCAAATTTTGATACTCCATCCACTTACAGAAAGCATTACTAGGTAATATGCACTTACAGGTTTTATATCTATATATCAAATTCTTAATTTTATCTATATTATACATATTTAATATACACACACAGACATATATATACACACGCAGAGGGAGAAAATTTCTCTGTGAAAATCCAAACTATTGCCCTCTACAGCACCTGAAAAGAGCCTGCCCGGAATTTTCAGGAGCTTTACTTCATGGTCTGAACTTTGTTTGCGCTTCATAGAAACAATTCCACAGAGCAGCTGAGTTACTCTCAAGCAATACAAGCCTGTGTGGGCATTGAGAAGTGCCATGCTCAGGGATTCCAGTTTCACACTGCCAAGTGTAGGAGTGCACAGAGGGATTGCCTGCCCAAGCACCCCACAGTGCTTGAAGGTAAACACTGAACCTCCCAGCAGGAACCGCTGGGCCAGTCACCAAAGGGTTAACGGTGCCCGAGTCCCACTGTAACCAATTGAAAGCTATTTTGATTAATGATGTCACAGGCCAAAGGGCAGGGCACCCTGGGCAGACACCTAATTTATTTAAGCCTCTGAAATAACTCAAAGAAGGGAACATTACTGGATTACATGTCACACTTAAGGAAAATATTCATCATTGCTCCAGCCAAAAGAATAATGATCCTGTAAGCAGTACCTGGTTATGAGAGTGAAGATGCAAATCCCTAATGAAAAGCAACTAAAAAAACTCTTAATGCCAGTTATTTCTTTCATAGGAAAAGAAGTATCAAAATAGACATTGGGATTATTACCATCTCATGTAGGCACATCTAAGAAATGTATCCAACAGGATATTCAGATCTTGCCAAACAGTGTCTGCTCCTACAAGATTTGTTTGCTCAGTATTCAATTAAGGTAAAGGGCATAAAGAATTAATTTTTACCAGTATCATGTTATTGAATGAGGTCAAACTTGCTAGCTGTCAGTGTCATGATACAAACCTGTAGTGGCCAAAGGCTCACTGCCTCTACTAATGGTCTAGACTGTTCTCCCACTGGTTATTCTGTGTTCTGGGGGGAGTTAAACTAACGAGATGGGTGGTCTGAGTAACATGACTGCTGAGTACCAGCCTCATGTGCTTCCTCAGCCTTCCTCAGCCTAGAAAAGTGTTTCAGGAATAGAGCTCACTGAGCAGGGAACAACACTGGTCCTTAAAAAGGAAACCAAGGGGAAGTCCTTGTAAATGTAGGAAATCCCCTGTATCATCCTTCTGAATGGGTCTGTGAATACCTGGGATCTGAACGGGTCTGTCCACACCTGGAATCTTGCAGGAGCCTTCCTCCTTCCTTAAGATCCTTTTTCCTTTGAAAAGGTAGGGAGCATGCTCTGGCTAGAAAGGCTCACAAAGCAGCTTTCTCACAGTGCCCAGAATTATGAACAATTTTTCTGTCAAAATTTTGATTTGATAAAATAATACAACATCAGAGCAATGAGTACATTGATTCATACATTGTGTCAGATACACATGAATTAATGTTAACTCATCAGATATTCTGGATGAAAAATATCTGGGTTTTGATGCCAGATATCAAAAAAGTTTTAAAAAATCAATAAAATGGGCATTCTAGATTTTATTTGTATTTAATAAAGGCTAAAATCTTCAAAGCAAAACAAAGCATTTCATAGTACTTTTAAGTGTAAAGAAAGCCCCCAGTTCAAGCATAAAAAACCCCCACAATTATTTATGCTGCTCTTCTGTGAGCACAAGACTTCTCTGTGCTGGGGTTTCACAGAAGTTGTAGCTGTCATCAAGCAGTGAAACATGTCAGCTCCTCTCCCTTCTCCAAGTGGGATGGTGGCTTCCAGAGGAGTTCCTCACCCTTATGCAGGTGGAGAGACAGGTGAGGGCTCAGCATTTCGGGAATGCCAAGCAAAACCCTTTCTTTTTTTGTGCTGTGGGTATTGCACTTTAGATTTGAAAAAGTATAATTTGCAAGTGAGATCTAAGATTGGTGTGTTTTAAAACCCAAGCACTGTTTCCTATGAAATGCATGTCTCCCACACTACTTCTTCCTGACTTTCCTAACCATTTGAAGTGTAATGTTTCAATGGGTACATGAACTAAAACAATAAAAGTTATTGAAAGATCAGTGGAGCTCTTGGTCTGAGCCTGGACTCACCAAGCAGTGCGTCACAACGGCCTATTTATTTCAATTCCCAGTAACAGACACTGCTGGAGAGAAGTCTCACCATTCATGCTCTGTTTCAGTAAAAAAATTAAATTATAAATCATTGCTCTTCCTAACTAGGACATTTTGTTGTTGCATTTGGATAACTGTCAAGGAAGGAAGAAAAGGTGATCTGCTGTCAACTCAACAGGAATAATTGCAATAGTTTATATAAAGTAATAACTCGGCATTTCCAGTTTCGACATGTATTATTCTTGTTGAATTATTCTGTTTGCACCATTATTATGCAATATGATGCCTTCCCCAAGGAGTGCAAAAAATTTAAGGGAAGACTATTCTTACTCCTACAAATCCTACTCCACCCAATTAGTAATAGCAGGAAGGTGTGAAACTGAAGGGACAATGTATTTAAGAACATGAATCTTCAAAACAAAGTGAATGAACTAGTATCTTTAAGGACAAACCCAGAAAAATAAGGGGGGAAAACGTTCAAAAGAACAAAATAAATAGCTGCAAGCTTTATGACTGCTTAGGAGTAGCCAGTGAGGCTTAATCCACAAGCCTAACCTCAGCTGCCTTCTGCTCTGTAGTAAAGTTTCTCATTCACGCTGCTGCTGGGGAGGTTTGTTGTTTCCCTGAATTGCAGAAAAATATGATGGTACCTGGCTGCAGCCCCCAAACTCTCATTGGACAGCCACCCCGATCACTCCTCCTTCAGACCTTTATGGGGCTCTCCCTGTCAGCTTCTGTTTCAACTTGTTAATTTTCTGTGCCATAAGCAACATCAAATAGTCTCTTAGGCAACCCTTGAGTGCTGGGCTGGGAGTGCTCATCCCCTGGGTATGTCTGTATTGCCCAACAGAGCCATGTACAAAGAAATCCTGGAGGGCCTCTGTTCAGGAAGGGGTGCAGCTGGGTGAGCTCGTGTTCTCCTGGTTTATGGTTACAGGGTTACTCAGAGAGCCACTTCCAGTGCAACCACAGAACAGAACGCAGAGCATCACTTTGGTACACCACATGCAATTATTTCCCTTAAGGGTGTCCTCTTCCTCGTGCCTTTAAACCAAGCTGCACACATTTGTAAAAGAGCAAATACAGCTGTGAGACTCTAAGGGATTATCTATACTTGCAGTCTAGGAAGTTTTGGTGAGTTCTCAAAGTCAGAATTTGCATGGAATAATTCACCTCTCCCAGTTCCCAGTCCTCTGCTTTATCCCCACTGGCAACAAAATAAAAAACTATAAAATTAAGACTCTGCACCTGCTTTGCTTCCTAGAGGAATATAAATATTAATGCATGTAGAAAATACAGCAAGACAGAAGACTTCTTATACAGGCAAGAAAAATTTTCAACACTGAACATTTCCACAGTTATCTCCATCTTATTAAAAAATGTCAAGGAGACAGAAAGACCCATTCATTTCATCAAGCACAGAACACTGATTGCATTTTTGGGAGAAAGTTTGTTTAACAAAAGCCTAATCAGCCTGTTTAATTTCCTCTTTTTTTTTTTTTTTCCCCTAGTTTTTAATTACAGCATGGAACTTCTACTGTGTCCTCTCTTGGCTTTTGTCTGAAGTCAGCAACTGAATTCCTCTAGATTTCAGTTGGTTCAGGATCTTGGATGAAGACACTGAGGCCTCAAACTTTGATTGATAATATTTTCAACAAAAACCAACACAAATGTTCCAATAAGCCTGCAGGAATGACACTCCTGCCATCAGCTCAGTTGGTCCTGTAGACCTGTAGCAGTGTAACCAGTGTGTTGTCAGGGGGTTACATTGGAATCAGCTTTGCCACCAATTCTCTGGAGATTTCAAGCCAATAACCTGAACTCCTTTCTGCCTCTACTGCCACCTTTTTGTACTACTTGTGTTCACTGTTGGCAGCCCATTAACATTATTTGCTAAATATTTTGCAAATGTTGTGGTTTTTTACTAACTCCTTTTATTTACCTTTTTGTCTGTAGTCAGTACCACCGTAAATATTTTGATTCTATTGCATGTCTGGAATAGAAATGTTCATCTAGTGTTTCCTCATCCTGAGGGCACTGAAGTGAATGGAATCTGCCATTAAAACCACTGTTTTTAAGCAACCCAAACATTTTTCATCATTCTTAATGCAGTGAGAAACCATATCAAACAACTGGCTTTGGTAAGTCACTCATTTTCCTCTTGATTGATGCAAAAGCTGTATCTATCCTAAGGATACAAAGCTTTCCTTGAGCATTTGCAAATCTTCCATTAAAGCTTGGAAAGCTCTGAAAGTTACATTAAGGATGTTCACAAATCTTTCCCCCCTTTAATAGTATAATTACTTGATTGGTTTGATTATAAATCAAAATCCAAGTGAAGAAAGATTCATGTGCTTCATATAAAATGAATCACAGGGAAAACATTTCACAATTAGCAGACACTCTTGCCTTACCTGCCATAACTTCAGACACATGGGCATGCCCAGCTTGGCACCCACCTCTGGCTTCAAGGTACAGACTGACGTCTTGGATGGCAGCTCCAAAATCTGAACCTGACATCAGAAAAACAAGAGGAGTTGGTCAGGCTCCAGGTCAAAATTCTGTTGTTAAAAACACAAGTCTTTTAAGGTGATTAAGGTTAGTATAAGCTCTTCCAGTAAAAACTGTCTGGAGGAAACTGAGAAATGCATGCTAAGTTGGAGCTGTAAGGGGAATCTATAGCTAGCTAAGGAAGTGCATTGTTTTAAGTAAGGCCAGACAAAACCTCTAGAGCGAACACATCCTCTTCTTCCACTCTTCTATTTAACTACAGCCTTCTTTTCAAACAGTGGATGACATTGTGCATACAACAGACAATACTGCAGACTGCTTCATCTGAACACACCCCGCTGCTTTCTTTCCCCTTTTTCCAGCTCCATTGCTAATTTTTTGGCTGTATTCACCTGTGAACACTTGCATTCTCTCCTCTGTGCTGTTATGATAACACACAGCTTGCATGGAAATAGAGGCAGTGTATACATGCAAAAGGGGATTTTTTTATTTACTGCTGACTGCACTAACAAATCATAATCCCACTACTGGCTAAGGCCGGCTGCAGCAGTGTCTGCACACAGGTATTTTTAACACAATGTTGTCTGACCCTGTCTAAGGCAGCGTCAGACAATGCTATGTTAAACACCTGTTCTCTCTACAGAGCAGTTTCCATTGCTGCTTGCTCAGATGGTAATGAATCACGGACCTGGTTTGGGTGGTTTTGATTTCTCTTTTTTTTTTTTTTAAACATTGGGCAAGTTGTTCCTCTGCCAAGGAAGTAGCTCATTTCCACCTCGGGATGATGGCAGGCAAGATCAGGGGAGTCTGCCTTTTCAGTTTGGCACTGGAAGATTTTGAGACTCTTGATTGACACAGCAGTGCCTCAGCTCTGGGCTGGTTCTCAAGCCTGGAACTCTGGAGAAACAGAAGCTCTTGGGTATTGAAAACCTGCTGCCAGGAATGTTGCTATTTCTCACATGTATACTTAATCAGCAAGGTGATCTTTCCTTCTAATTAAATAAACAATGCTCTGCATTATGTGGTAAAATTAAGCGACTTGAACCATTTGATAAATCCAGCATCACCAGCCACTCTAGGCTCTTCCAGAATGTGCAAGAGCTCAACAGCGCTGTTGGGCAGCCCCAGTGGTGTGAATTTCCTTAAGCATCTGAGATGAGGTATTACCCAAATATGGCTCCTCTGGGAATCATCAATCAAGACCATGGCAGCTGCGATGGCTTTCCAATCCCAAACCTTTAGTTCAAAGCTTGCCAGAACATCTTCCTATTTCTAGAGGCCGTCAGCCAGACTGCCAAAAGCCAGCTGCACTCTAGGACTGCGAGTACAGTGTACTGCACATAACATACAGAACACTTTCAAAAGCCACTGAGCAATAGAGCAGGAAACTGTTTTCCAGATTTGAGGAATAGTGGCTACAGCCAAGAGCCATCCAGTCTGCAGACCAAACCTGGGAACAGACCAAAGTTTGATCATCTGGGAATTCTGGTTCTATGGAGCTACACTCTTAACAAAAGATGCTTTTCTCTCATCAACTTTCTTGCTATCAACATAATGACCAAGTTAGCTGTGGCAGGAAACGGGCTATAAATATGAAGATGACCTGCCCTCATCTTCTCTCTTTCATCACTGTCTCTCCAAAGGGCATTGCCTCCTAGGCAAAACCAAAATTGCAACTTTTATGTAATAAAGAAGGGTAAGTGTGCAGTGATAAATGCACTTCTGCAGGTTAAAAGAAAAAACCAAACCTTCTTTGCTTTACCTTAACTAAAAACAGATGAACTGGTACAAGGGCTACAGTTGGGCTTGCAAAGGCCAAAGAAAAACAATAAGAAAGGTTTTGTGCAGAAGGCAGGCAGGCATGAGCTGCTGCCTGAACTGGATTGACAGTTCCAGAGACTGTCTGCGTTTAAGGCAACTGAGCCTTAGAAATAAATACTATTTCACATATTTTGACAACTGTAACCTAAAACTTGAAGTTCCGTGTTTATATTGGTTTTGCTTAATAGGAGAAAGATTTGCCTTTGCCTGAGGTTAATAGTGTTCCTGGGTGGCTAAAACTGGCCACAAGGAAACACACCCTTACTTTTTTTCACATTAATAAAGCTTTTAACATGTTTCTGGCAAATTGGCAAGAAAAGTGCATGTAACTCATAATTGGTGATTTAAATGCAATCATGAACAAATAAATGCCTGTTCAGATCTCATTATTTATGGACTGAACCTCCTTTAAGACAAAATTACTCTTTTTTTGGACACCAGCCAAGCATAAACACTTATTAAGTCTTAATTTTAATCATAAGCTGCAAATGTACTGTGTCTCACACAGTGCTGCCTATTTGGAATCACTATATATTATGGGAGCTTATGTGAATTTATTGAAACATGACACAGTTCTAATGCAAAGGTTCACACACAGAGTGGAACTCTTCTACCTCAGGAGACTGCAAATCATGCTCCTCTTGCAGGACCCAAGCAAACAAATGAGAATAAAACAGAGATGAGTTGTAAGTGACACCAGTGTAAACATCTTCTATTTGGGTCAGTTGATTATTTAATTCTTCATTACTGCGACTTCTCTGGCTGACATGAGAATGCACTTGTCAATTTTGTTTAACTTAAGTATTATTGAGCACTGCTGTAAAATGGAGGGAGTTCTTTGTTTGATCACAACAAGGTATGGGATGTAGAATGGTTGTATTTACTGGTGCAGTGGCTGTGTCCGCAGGCATATCTAGTTCTGTAAAAGGCTGAATGTTCTGGCTAGAGTCAACAAAGTACTTAAATATGTGCTTAACTTGTGTACCATAAAATCACATTTTCTTGCAATACAGGCACTTATTACTTTGTGTATAAAATATGCAAATTTCAGTTTCAAGGTACACAGCCTATAGTCCAGAAAAACACGGGAACTTTTATGCTCATCAGCAATTTGCACTTAGCTACACTATTTCTTTTCATATTTATGACACCTTATTCTTTTTCATAATTTTGGTATTTTGATGTCAAGTATTTGGTAATATTTTTGTGTGATGTCCTCAAACAGTCCATTCTAGAAAACAAAACTAATTTCTACAAAGCAGAAGTGGACATTGCCAACAACGCTGTCAGTCAGTGAGTGCTGCGATAGTGGCATTAGATACGGACTTATCCAGTAGGAACTGAAATGGACCCTGCAATTATCTCACACAGAGCAAACCTCTGGCTGGTAATAGTAATTCAACTATTTCCAGCCCCAGTTCCACGTAAGGAATTAGCCTGGGGTGAAAGACCATGTATTGCATTACAAATCACCTGCACCTCCCCTCTTCTTGCCAAACCAAACTCAGCTTCAGATAGAATATAAGCTCTTCCATCTGAGGACAGACGTGCTGACCATTACTTCCCCAGAAGGGTTCTCGTTCCCAGTATTCAGCAGCACCAGAACAGTTTTCAAAAGTCCTACATTAAAAGATCAGCAGCAGCTGCAAACACTTAAATGCCAGACAAATCTTGGGATGGTATCCTTGTTATTAAAGCAAGAGTTATATAATTCAGTAATCCTTGTGGCAGTAAAATTAGTGATTAAAACCCCCAAAGATTTCTTGTGCTGCCTGATCTTGAGCAGAGAATTCAACCGCACTGATGTTTCCCCTCCTCAACTATGTCATTTCAGTACCAAAAACAACCTCTCAAGCACAGAGAAAGAGATACTTCCTACCTCCTCCAGGCTTCTGGCTGCCACGGCCATTAGCCAGCGTCCCTGTGCCACCTTTAACAGAGAGCATCTGCAGAATCCCACATGCTCCGTGAAGACAGAATCCGTCACTGAAGTCCGTCCCTCTGCTAAATCCCACAAGCAGATCCTCTGGTCGCGCCCCTGACTGTTACAGTAAAACAAGTTATCCATGAGCTGCAGTCTGAGGAAGCCTGGCTGCCTGCAGGGCAGTAACTCGAACTGGGTCTTTAGCAGACAGCAAAGGACCAAGCTTCAAACAGCTTCTGTGGGGCTTTTAACTGGGTGTTTCGTGAAATGTGGGGGAGTTCAGTGTCCCTGAGACCACCACCCTTCTGCCGACGGCAGAACTGGCCAAGAGGTTCAACCGTCCCTGGGAGGGGGGAGGGCCTGGGAGCCAGTCAGACACACTGCAGTCACAGAGTTTGTTTCCTTGTGCAGAGACTTGATCAGGCTGACTTGTGCTATTTATATGTGGGAATATATTTATAAAGTCTCATGAGCATTTGAACACACACAATAAAAAATACTTGTATTTTATCACTGATTAGATCTAATTTAAAAGGAAACAAAAGTATCCAAAGATTCACACATGTAACACTCATTCACCTAGCAACGAAATGGAAATGTCATGTGGTGACAGATAAAAGACAAACAGCAAGACAACAAAGACCTCATCAGAGATAAATAAAAAGTGACAATTATTCAGTGGTCAACTTCTCAGAGCCACAGGAGGCCACAGAGGGCTCCTAGGACTGTGCACGTGTGGAGACACAAGGGAAAGGGACTGGCAGTGACTGCTGAAGGAACCTCTGCTGTGGCTGAAACACCCAAGGCCAGAGAGCAGCAGCAGCAGCAGCATCCGAGGTACGAGTGCAGCTCCCACAGACTCCTGGCACAGCCCCGTCCCAGAGGCTTTGGGCTGCTCCCAGGAAGGCAGAGCGAGGAGGCCACACAAAAGGCACAGCAGGAATTGTTGCAGATTTACATGATCCCACTGGCTCTGGAACAAAGTAGCACTGTGCAGAAGCTTCCAATTCATAAACTACTGTAGCACAGGATGTATGTCCTCATGCTATCACCAGGACAAGGAGTCCTCAAAAATCCCTTACCCATGTCTTACTTTAATTAGCAGTATCAGCTGAAGAAGTATGAAACCAAAACAGAGGAGATGTAAATCTACAGACTGTTGGGACTACTTCAACATCAGTGCTGTTCAGCTGAATGACATTTATTGCACTGGGGATACAAACAGTGTGATACTGCAAGAAACTGCTGTGATTTAGCTTTACAAGAGAGAAATATAAAATACAGGCAAATGCTGTCCTAAAACTGCACTGTTATGTGAAGTGTCAGAATTATTCAGCAAAAACAGAGGTGCGGAAAAACTCTCTAATTATACAAAAAATGCTCATTCAATATGACTTTATGGGGGAGAGTGCTGATAATTGTACTTAGGCAGATAAGAAATAGAAGTGCTAATGAGTTCCACTGTATATTATGAGATGTCTTCTCTAGATAAACATGTCAGAACACCTCCTAATCATACAGACACCTTGGCATCTACTCTAGATCACCTGTCTAATCCAAAGTACACAAATCTTCCTGACCTTCCCTTGCTAAACAAGAACAGAAGGTATTTTGCAACAAAGCAAAAGCATGAAACTCAGCATGCTTGCTCATTTTCAGTCTTCCACTCTCCATCTCTGATTCTTCTCTTCCTTACTTCCTTTTTCTCTATCTCCCCTTTATTTATAAATTTCAATCTTCCCCAAGAACCAGCAGTGAAAGGTTTGTCAACTTCAAATCCAAGTGTATTTCCTTGACCCAAAGACCTCACCTGTTCTCAGTAAAGACACTACAGGTCCCAGGTTGTTATGATGTCATAACATACATCATAAAAAAATTAATTGTATCTTTCTCCCCTGCTTTTTATTCTAGAGTTTTTCTGTCTTTTGTACTTCAGTACATTTCCATATGTGTTGCAGAAACTTTAAGTGACTCCAGAATTAAGAGAATCCTTTGTGTACCTGCCCCCCTCATTTTTTACCTTCAATCACAGAGACAAGAATATGTCACAGAGACAAGAATAATTTCACTGTTTTTTGCCTGTTTGGCTAACCTGAGAAGCCTGTCTTTACCACCCATCGTCTCCACGCAGTAGACAGATTTTCTTCCATGGCCATCCAATGCTGTGTCCACTCTGTGTGTTCTCAGGTTCCAGACATGGATAAACCCACTCTCAGACCTGGCAGTAGGAAGAGATGCCTTTAGTGTGAGCACTGCATGGAGGTGATAAGAGTCTGATGCTCTTCCTTTTTGTTTGCTTGTTTTGTTTTCAAAACTGAAGCTGTATGCACAAGTTACACACCCATCATGCAAAACCATGCATGCTGCTGTTTTCCCCAAAAACACTTTGTCAAAATAATACAATTCAAAAGGAAACAACCATATGATGCTCAGCATAATCAGAAATCCTGGTGTATTTACCCAGAGAAAAGAAGGGGGATATCAGGTTCTGGGCCTCCACAGGAAAAATGCAGGGTGTGGACTGCAGCACTGGTACCTCTGAGCACAAACTGTGGATCCGGAGGTGGCAGAGCCATCAGAGCAGTGAACTGTGGGGATGAGAAGCAGACACTGATATCACAAAAGATAAGGCAGCCTAAAGTGAAATGACAACTTTAAATATATTCTGAGCAGGACACTTGCTTCTCCTCTTTCCTCTCTGAATTTTGAATTATTGATTGTTCTTTCTATTTGCCACCCAGTTGAGGGTGAAGTATTTCCTCTTAAGATGAGCTGACAAAGCAGGTGTCCAACCTGCTCTTTGCTGCATTCCTCTCTCAGCAAGGTGCTGAGCTGGCCACGCGCACGCACCTCTCGCACACTTGTAACTCCTAACTCAGTCAGCTGCTCTCCCTGTGCTAAAGGGAAGAGCTACAAAATACAAGAAACTTGACACCCATAATTTGAGTGGGCAAGCAATTTATCATTCTGCTTTAGCCCCTGGCTAAGTCTTTCCCCTTCCTCCCCACAGAAATACTACTTTTGTGTTTTTTCAGAAAAGCATTGCAGTGAATGTATCAATTGAAAAGAATTTCAGATCACAGAATCACAGAATCGCTGGGTTGGAAGAGACCTTCAAGCATTGAGTCCAACCCATGCCCTAACACCTCAACTAAATCATGACACCCAGTGTCACATCCAGTCTTTTTTAAACACATCCAGGGACGGTGACTTCACCACCTCCCCGGGCAGACAATTCCAGTACTTTATCACTCTTTCTGTAAAAAAAATTTCCCTAATATCCAACCTATATTTTCCCTGGCACAGCCTAAGGCTGTGTCCTCTCATTCTGTCAGTTGTTGCCTGGAGAAAGAGACCAACCCCACCTGACTACAGCCACCTTTCAGGAAGTTGTAGAGAGTGGTAAGGTCACCCCTGAGTCTCCTTTTGTCTAGGCTAAACAACCCCAGCTCCCTCAGTCGTTCCTCACAGCGCTCACATTCCCAGCCCCCTCACCAGCCTCATTGGCCTTCTCTGGATGTGTTCAAGCATCTCAACGTCCTTCCTAACCTGAGGGCTGAGAACTGGACACAGCACTCCAGGTGCGGCCTCACCAGAGCCGAGCACAGGGGAAGAATGACCACTCTGCTCCTCTGGCCACACCATTCCTGATCCAGGCCAGGGGCCATTGGCCTTCTTGGCCACCTGGGCACAGGGCTGGCTTGTGTTCAGCTGCTGTCACCAGTGCCCCCAGGTCCCTTTCTGCCTGGGCACTGTCCAGCCACACCATCCCCAGCCTGTGGCATTGCAGGGAGTTGTTGTGGCCGAAATGCAGGACTTGGCACTTGTACTTCTAAAACTTCATCTTATTGGACTCTGCCCATCCATCCAACCATTTCAGGTCTCTCTGCAGAGCCCTCCTCCCTTCCAACAGATCACACACTCCCAGCTTAGTGTGGTCTGCAAATTTACTAATGAAAGATTCAATACTCTCATCCATGTTGATGAGATGGGAGTGATGATCATTTCTACACAAGAATCCCATTACTCCAGAGTATTTTAATTTTTGGTTCTAAGCATGGTTTCTTGAAAAAGAAGTGCAGCACCTCATATTAATTGACTACTGTGCTGAACATTTTATTCCAAGGGGTTTGTATTCCCTAAAGGATCAAGAGATGGATGTTATCAGCTTCATGTGAAATGTGGTCTGAGTCAGTACAGAGCAGGAGCGGTATATGCGGGAGCAGGCTGCCCTGTTCCACACAGGAAATGCAGAGGACAATTCCTGGTGAATTGGAATCACAAGGACAGCCCGTGTGATCCCCACAGGCACTCACTGCTCTGGCATTTTCAGGTATTTCCCTTCACATTAAGAGCTTTGCAGGCAGCTGTGCACAAGCACTGGAGAAGGATAAGGACAAATTTTCTGTGTTCTGCCTTGTTGCAAATGACCCCCCAGACCTGTGCTGAGACAAGGCAACCAGCAGCTGATTCAACTAGAAGTAGAATTTGCAGTTCATTAGAAAATACGTTACAAGTCCATTACAAGAAATGTTTTCACCATGAAAAGTGTTTGCTCCCTGTGGCATTACTAGCCACACTTGTGTATCTGCTTCTTCCTTTCTGACCTAACCTCACATAGAAAAGGGCAGCTTTTGCCACTGCAGGTGTCACCTGTCATCACTTTTTCCCACTCATGCATCTATTACCCCAGACTAAACAAAAAGTTCTAAATTCAGTAAGGGAAGATCAGCAGGTGTTTGTCTGCCTGCCAGTTCACAGCACAGAAATTGCAGAGAATCAGAGAGGAGTGCAAGAGCTACAAGTTCCACGGCAAAACAGCCCAACTTTTCATTGCCATCTCACCCCAGTACCAGCTTTTAAATTGTGTTTAATGGATGCACTTGCTAATGCACTGTATTTGCAGGTCTACCTTGAATGTTTATAGATCAAGTTATCACCACAGAATCTATAGGTTCTAATTAAATGCAATTATTTTTTTAGGGCTAGTGATGAAACAGGATTCTTCAGCGTAATGTGCAGTTTTCTCTCAAGAGCACTGTGTAATTAGGTATGAAAATAATGAGCTTAGTGGATACCCTCTCTGTTTTAGGCCCTGACTCATCCCTTTTATGAAGCTGTTGGATGATCCAGACTCATGGCAGGCTGAAGTAAATTTTCAGATGTACATGCTGTGCAGGTTCACCCCCACGATGAGATGCAGCTCCCAAGTGCCCATCAGCAACATGCTCCACCTGTGTTATAAACCTGTCAGACCTTGGTGACTTTGTCACCAAGGGACGCCTCTTTGGGGCACTACAGCTGAGTGCTGGTGCCCTCAAAGTGTTCTACAACCAGATAAAAAAAAGAGTAGCTAAGCACTTGTCAGAGGAGCAGGGTCCCACCTCACAGTGGAGCAATTCTGGCTTACTGCACTGAGCAAGGAAGCAGAACTGAGGCAACCCAGAGGCTATCTGGGATTACAAGGCAGGTTTTTAATAGCATTTTTCTAATTACTGACACAGAAGTTTTTGCTGACAGACAGTAAGTGTGTGCGTGGCTATGGCAAGGGTTTTACCCGGCATGAAACAGACACTACTAATGCATGTCTTTACAAGGATGATATTTCAGAAAAATCCTTAACCCAGTTACAGGAAAAAAATTACTGAAAACATACTTCTGAGCTGTGAGCTATTGAAGGGACTTTTTGCTCCTAAGAGTCTCTTTTCTTGCTTTTCTGGTAATCATATGTGAATCTGGAAACTTGGCTTAATATTGAACCTAATATTTATTGAGTCCTTATTACTTCCTATCATGATTTGGCAAATGAATGGCAGTGTGACAGAATTTAGTGTCTCGTTTTCCTTCCAGCAGGTGCTGAACTATAAAATTGCATCTTTGCTGTCTTTTTTATCCATGAGCTTGGACAAGTCACTTAAGGCAAGATATAGTAAAAAGTTTTTAGGTACCTATTGAGAGTCCCATGAGGTTGCAAAGAGATGGAAATTTGGGGTACTGGTACTTTAACAACTCCAAGAAAGCATCAACCTGTTCCTGTTGACACACAAGCATGCTCAAAAAAATGACATTAAGCCTACCTTCAACTCACCAAGTAGCTCAGTCTCTACTTCACAGGGATAATGAAGTACATTGTGGCATACTGACTCAAACAGATAATAGTTATAGTGTTTTGCTACACAGACAGCTACAAACATGCTAAATATGATGATTGTGAGATGGTTAAAGCCTCTGGGGAAATTTTTCAAAAGTGCCTAAGTGATTTAGAAGCCTAAGAGTAATTTCCAAATGAATTTTCAATCCTACATCTCTAGGACTTTTTAAAGTTTCACCCCAGGTGTCTAAAAATGAGTTCTCTAATTAGCACAACATTTATTTTCTTGTTAACTCTATCTAGCCTCAGGGAGACCAATCTGTTCTTGTTAACTGGGGATATCTGCAACAAATTTAATTAAATGAATTTGCTTAATATTTAGTCTGGTCTGAGAGCAAAATCTAGCTCAAGGGCTTGAACAAGCAAAGTGCAACCTACAGAATAAAGTACATTTAAAGGCATTTCTGGGCTACACTGTATGTTTGGCCCTTTAATCCTGCTGCCTCCTGTGAAAGGAGTGAAAAGACATGAATACATGAATCATTTTGCTCATGGCAGTATTTGCTTGCAAGATGGCATCACCTGCAAGAGAGGCAACAGCTCACCATCAGGCTCTTTGGTTTTTTTAAAAAGATGTTCCACTTCTTATTTCTTCCAGCCTTCCCTGCACTGTTAACAGCGTTGTCCTTCAGGAGCTGAGCTACACTGATGTGGCACAGACAACGAGTAGGATTTTTCACAGAATGCACTGGGAACCCTTGGGGTCCTGCACAAGTTACATTTGCTACACAAGTAGGGAGTGGAAAGCCAGCTGCTCAAATGAGGGTTTCAATTAGTGAATGGCTGAGTGCACCACACAGGAGGTACCAAAAAGAGTTTTGTCTAAGAAAATGCATATGCTAAATGCGACAACAATTAAATTTCCTTCAAAATTATGTTATTTTAAAGAACAATTCACTATTAATATCCCTCACAAATCTTACTTTGCTTAGGCTGCAATTAGAATAATCCTCCAACCATTTCAATTTCTATGCAGTGGTATTTCAGTATCATCACTTCAGCATTTGATATAAAAAAGTTAAGCTTTTATTTAATGAGAGTCATTTAAAATATGTAAATGTCAAAAGGATTACCTTAGAAAAATCTCTCAGAGAATTAAAAACATTAACAGATTCCCACAGGAAAAATTCCAGCAGAATTCAGCAATTCTCCTGTTCCCACTCCTGTCACTTGTATTTCTATCACACATTGAAGCAAAAACAAATTGCTATTAAAATATCATCCAAACACCCTCCTCCCCCTAACAAACTCCACAGTTCACTTTAAGATACCAACCGCTCAAGCAAAGACAGGAAAAAATCCTCTTCTATTTTTCTTTAGGCTTATTTAGAGTAGTAAAACCTCACTGGTAAAAGAGCTTTTTCAGGTATAGAAGAAATAAATCTCCCTAGGCATGTCTGGCAAACTGATTTGGGACTGAAACCAGCAGGTGTGCAG